TTGCTGTGCTGGCATATCTGCTGTACGTTTTAAAACTAAATTGATGTATGTAAGTGAACCTAAAGTAGATAAAGGATAACCTATAGTTCACTAATGAGTGGCAGATACAACTAAGGCAGTACTGCATAAAATTGAACCTAAGGCTAATACTGTAAGGTTGAAATGAAAAGGCATGCAAGCTTTTCCCCGAGTTCTTGGTGCATATCTTTGTGATCAGGCTGTAAAATAAATAAAGTGACTTTTTCTTGTGTGATCTTTGCCATAATTGTTGCTTGAATGTGTCTGAGAAGCTCTAAGGCATTCATTATATGGAGTTTTAGTGATTCATACATTCGATTTTTTTAACCAATAAAAATATTTGACATATGCAAATGATCTTTACTTCAATATGCAGTTTGTTCCACTCCCATCAGTGGCAGGATTTTATCTGGCTCGTTTCTTCACGAAGAAAAGCGTCTCATCATACTTTACTTTCGTTGTGCTTGGAAGCTTGATGGTTATATGGTTTGTGATGCACAATTACTGGGATCTGAATATTTGGATGTCAGGCATGCCTTTAAAATCCTTTTGCAAGCTCATTGTTGGTAGTGTTATCCTGGCAATGGCCATTCCTGGTTTAGCTATCCTCCCAGCGCAATTTCGCTTTCTGACTGAGATTGGTTTGATTGGCCATGCTTTTCTGCTGTGTTATATTGAAAATCGCTTCTTTAGTTACTCTAGTGTTTACTACTATGGGTTGGAGGAAGATGTGATGTACCCAAGTTACATGGTAGTCATAACGACATTTATTGGTTTGGCGGTTGTGAGGAGACTTTCCGCGGACAACCGCATTGGATCAAAGGCTGTTTGGGTCCTAACTTGCTTATACTCCTCAAAGCTGGCTGTGCTTTTTGTCACATCAAAGGGAGTTTTGTGGGTGTCAGCTGTCCTCCTGCTGGCTGTTTCTCCTCCCCTGCTTCTTTACAGGTATCTCCTGATCCAGATTGATGTGTCCTTGTCCCCTCCCCTCCCCCCCCACCCCTACCCAACAACTCAATCCCAAGAGAAAGACAATGAGAAAAACAGACCCCACATACACCTAGGGATGGCAATGGAGCGGTGCGGGTATGGAGCGGGTTTAAGACAATGTGGGGCTGCCCCGGGGGGGGTGGAGTCTCTAAGCGGGTGCGGGGCAGAGTGGGGTGGGTCAAAACCTTTGTTTTTAAAAATTATGCGGGTGAGGGTCTCCTCCCTTCTTGTGTTCTAGTGCCTCTTGTTTGATAAAAATCTCAAATAATATAGAAGTTTTCTCGTCTATATTTGAAGTTTATTATCATGTTAGTATTAATATATCAACAGGAAAATATACTCGATCTAAAATTTGAAGTATTTGTTTTGGTTAGTACTGTGATAAACTGATTGTTTAATTTTCTTGATTTAGCAGTCAAGTGAAAAATGAAGATTATTGGTGCCAATTCCAGTGTGATGCATTGTTCACACAGTTGAATTATGGAAATTGGATACTATTAATATGACAATTTATTTAAAAGAAAAAAAATCAAGGATAACAATAAATTTAAAATATAGTTTCTTTATTTGAGGTTTGGATGCAAAGCTGTATACATTGATGTGTATATATTCTTGATTACGTGATCAAACAAAAATAATTAGGGATCAGATAAGAATTTTGTATGAACGGGGCGGGGTGAGGCGAGACGGGTTTATGCGGGGTGGGTAGATCAAAATTTTTGTGGGTGAAGCTTTATCCGCCCCACACCGCCCCATTGCCATCCCTACATACACCAAAAGGATTGTGTTCCTTTTTCAGATTCCTAATCTGTTTATATTGCAGGGACAAGTCAAGAACTGCCTCAAAGATGAAACCTTGGCAAGGTTATGCTCATGCTGCTGTTGTTGCTTTATCAGTTTGGTTTTGTCGTGAAACAGTATTTGAAGCTCTTCAATGGTGGCATGGTAGACCTCCTTCTGATGGTTTGCTTTTAGGCTCCTGCTTCCTCTTGACAGGATTGGCTTGTGTTCCTATTGTGGCACTTCACTTCTCACATGTTATGGTATTCCCTCCAACTAATTTGTTGTTGTGTTATATGCTTTCTTTTTCATAGAGTCATTGATGATTAGATCAGTGATTGTTAATAGATCAAATTTATTACTCTAAAAGGAAATGTGCTTAACATGTTGATTTTCTGTTCTGAACCCTTTTAAAGAGGGATATTTCTTTTACCATAATACAGATATCCGGAACACCAGGAGTGTTCATATATTGTGATTGGAATGGAATAATGTGAATCTTCAAGTTGAGACTGTTTGCTTAAGAATGCCCTCTCTGTTGGTCTGCTAGACCTTATTTAATGTTATTTTCTTGCTTTTAACTGTTCTTCAAACATTTCATGGTCATAGAATAGGGATACTTATATCACAAACATGGGAAGTGCAACCTCCTGATAAGTGTCCTTTTTATTTTGTGTAGAAGATTACTTTTCGTGTTTGCTTTAGTTGGAGGTCTTGACTGGATTCACGTAGTTATGAGCTTTTTCTTTTTATCTTGCAGTCTGCAAAGAGATGCTTGGTGCTGGTGGTTGCAACAGGTTTGTTGTTTATCCTAATGCAGCCACCAATCCCCTTGTCATGGACTTACCAGTCGGCCGTAATTAAAGCTGCTCGTCAATCTGCTGATGACATTTCTATTTATGGCTTCTTCGCATCAAAGCCTACATGGCCCTCATGGTTGCTTATTGTTGCAATTCTGCTCACTCTGGCCTCTGTTACTTCCACCATCCCAATCAAATACGTCGTTGAATGGAGGATATTTTACGCCATTGCTATAGGCATTTCTCTTGGAATTTACATATCAGCAGAATATTTTCTCCAGGCTGCAATCCTCCACGCTCTCATCATCGTCACCATGGTCTGTACTTCAGTATTTGTTGTTTTCACTCACTTCCCATCTGCTTCAAGCACAAAATTTCTGCCATGGGTATTTGCACTTCTTGTGGCTCTCTTTCCTGTGACATATTTGTTGGAGGGACAAATCAGAATAAATAAAAGCATCCTTGGAGATAATGCAGTGCAAGATATGGGGGAAGAGGACAGCAAACTGGCAACCCTTCTGGCCGTTGAAGGTGCAAGAACTTCTCTTCTTGGTTTATATGCTGCAATTTTTATGCTTATTGCGCTTGAAGTGAAGTTTGAGCTGGCTTCACTGATGCGAGAAAAGGTAACAGATAGGGGTACAGTTAGACACAGCCTTTCAGGTCAAAGTAGCTCTAGTATTGTTCCCCCAAGATTAAGGTTCATGCAGCAACGCAAAGCCTCTGCTGTTCCATCCTTTACAATCAAGAGAATGGCTGCAGAGGGTGCCTGGATGCCTGCCGTTGGCAATGTTGCCACGATCATGTGCTTTGCTATATGCCTGATTTTGAATGTCAATCTAACTGGTGGCTCAAACCGTGCTATTTTCTTTTTAGCACCTATCTTGCTGCTGCTCAATCAAGATTCTGATTTTGTTGCGGGTTTTGGGGAGAAGCAAAGGTACTTCCCAGTAGTAGTTGTCATCTCTTCCTACTTGGTGTTAACTACCGTGTATAGCATATGGGAAAATATATGGCATGGGAATGCAGGGTGGGGATTAGACGTGGGAGGTCCAGATTGGTTATTTGCAGTGAAGAATTTGGCACTTCTGATTCTAACATTTCCAAGTCACATCCTTTTTAATCGGTTTGTGTGGAGCTACAGGAAACAGGCTGACTCAATGCCATTGATGACAATACCTCTAAATTTGCCATCAGTTTTGATGACGGATATTATCAAGGTTAAGATATTGGGACTCCTTGGAGTTATATATTCGTTAGCCCAGTATCTGATCTCTAGACAAGAATATATTTCAGGAATGAAGTATATTTAGAGAAACATAAAATTTTTGTACTATATGTTGTTGGAAATTTTCAAGTGAGGAATGAAATTAAAGATGTTGTTGCTGTTATTAATGGATATTCCTCATGTTGCATTGATTTCGAGTTCGACCTCATATGTGATGTTGAACTGTTGACATTAGAGAAAATCTTCAATTGTGTTGTACAAGTGCAAAATTGTATAGGCATATCTTGTACGAGTTGATAGTGAAAATTTGAGGGAAAATCAAGGTACTTTGTTTTCAAACATAATACTTAAGTTTTAAATCTAAAAAGATATCCATGTTTCATTATTTAAAATGCCAGTATTGACAAATTAATAACTAGTTAGTTGTACAAAGAATTAAACTTTCTAAAGCACATTCGAATTTTATAATTAAAGTCAGGAGAAATCTACAATTACAGTTTATTTTATTAGTGAAAGGCAAAATGTTTGAATATAGCTTTTAGCTGTTATAGAAAGAAGCGATACAAAAAGTGTATTGGTATTATGATGGAATCCGATGCTACAACATTACTCTCACCGTCTTATGCAATCATCACTCTTCAACCTCAAAATTTCCTATATATAAAGAAATAAACACACCGATAAGCCAAGGGGATTCAACATATTTAACGTTATGTAGTTTTTCCGGCAATTGATTCAGAGTGGATGTATAGATTTGTTTTCTACTCTAGGTACTATATCTTGTCTATGTCGTGAGTCCATCCCTAATCCTATTAGTAGTCAGAGCATTACTCCTATAGTTTCTTGTTACTCAATTTCTGTTTTGTTGAATGCTTGGTCATGATTTCTCTAGTATTTGGTCATGCTTTCTTCATTTCCGTTATTTCTTTTTCCAATCTGCTTTGAACTGTTTCTCCTCGATCTGATGGTCTATCATTAACACAACTACTATTTGGGTAGCTAGCAGAAACTTGTGTATCTTTCTTTGCAATTTCAGAGTCTCTCACTGTTTTATATCTTTGGTTAATGCACTATACTTGCTCCTACTTTCTGTTTGTGTCACATGGCTCTCATTGTTTAAATATTATCATCTTACACAGTGGCGGAGTCTGAAATTCTAGAATTCTAGAATAACACAACTTCCCTTTTCATCTCCCACAATTGTACGTATAAATATACACCCAAGGACTAAAAACTATACTACACAAGAAATGGCTTAGTCGAAAGTTCCAAGACATCAACATTTCGACATGCTCAAGTGTGCAAGAATCAATTGATGAACAATTTCAACAACATTACAAGATAAAACACCATGAAATGATTAGCCATATATCCTATTATTTTCCAGTCACTGAGAGTAATTCGTTTTACTTTCTCAGGTCTTGGCTTCATTAATCATATGCCTTCTACTATTACTATGTCAACAACGACAACATATCCAGTGGAGTCTGTGAAGGTTACGATGTACACAGACCTTACCCACCTTTGTAGGGTAGAAAGGTTGTTTCTGGTAGACCCTCGGCACCCTACTATTACTATGTCACTTACAAGAATAGATTTTTCTTTCCTTTTACGTCTTTGTTAAGGAACAACTAAAATATGGTTACTTACTAGTAGTGGTTGAGATAGTGGCAAAGGTAGGCTCTTTTTTCACATTTTGTGAGCAAAGGATGCAACCCCAAGATTTCCAAAGGGTTATCCTTCCTAGTACTACTCTCGTCCAAACACACTTAACTGCGGAGTTCTAATAGGATCCGGTGTGTTAGTACTGGTATGATCGGATCCAGGCGCTTTCTCGCTTTGTCTGTCAGTCCCATCCTTTGATCTGTACTGATAACAATGTGCTGCATAAAGAAAAGCAGCAAAATTGATGAGACTCATGACAGTGAGGAGGCAATAGAAGTAGTCGAATCTGCCGGTGTTAATGTTCTGGGAAAGCCAGGATTCTCGTGTTTCGCCTTTTCCCCGTGTGACAGACTTGATAATGCTATTCAAAATGGTGGCTGCAAAACAACCAAGACCACCAGCCACAGCAGCATAAGCTGAACCAATGCTTCTCATTGCATCAGGAGCCTCCTCATACAGAAATTCGAGTAATCCCACTATGCAAAAAACTTCAGCTATCCCAATTAGGCAATACTGGATTAGTAACCAATAGGCACTGAGGTCAGGCATTTGAGTCAAAAAACTAGCCTCGTAACCATGTTGTATTGCGTAAGTTCTCCGGTACCTCTCGAAGACACCAGCCCACGCCACCGAGAGTATAGAGACTGCCAAGCCAATGCCAACTCTCTGAAGCTGAGAAGCACCATGGGGGTTGCCAGTGATCCGCCTAGATATTGGAACGAACACGGAGTAATAGAGGGAGAGCAGAACAAATATGCTGAGGCCTGGAAAGACCGGCATGCAGGTGACAGGAAGTTTCAAATGTCCCATGTGAGTGTTCAACGTATATGCCTGTTGGACTGATAGAGTCAAATACTCCGTTAGAACCACACTTAACATTATAGTGCAGGCTGGAATCGGAAGAAGTTTCAGCAGGATTTTAACTTCTTCTACTTGAGTCACGGTGCAAAGCCTCCAAGGATTGGCACCATCATCATCTTTTAGCTGCAGAGCTGCTTTGTCCAAACATCTACATTGAGCATACATATAGTGAAGACATAATTAAGTAAACAAAAGTATGTTTTACCTAACAGCTTAAGCTTTTAAATGTGACCGTCACACAATTCAACAACATGGAGAGTGAAAAAAAGGAGCAACCTTGGAAATTTACCTGAAATCATCGGTATGAGGTATCTTGTTGCTGCCCTTGATAGCAGATCTTTTACCAGGAAGTTCATACAAGCCTACTAACTCGCTGCTTTGAAACGAAACATTCCTCTTGCGGAAGGCAGCAACTAGGACTTGGGCAACACGCGTGAGAGGACTGCCTCCAGGCAACCTATGCCTATACATAGGGGTGCCAGCAAAGAATAACATGTTGGACAGGCCCATGGCAATTGCCAATGACCCAAAAGCAGCACCCCATCCATGTTTCATTTGAATATACACAACTGCAGTGAAGGCCACAATCGCCCCAACTGTGACCGACAGGTAAAAAAAGTTGAAAAACCTGTCCAGGTGTGACCTGTAGTTTCTGCTTCTCTCATCGAATTGATCAGCCCCGAATGATGAGACACAAGGCCTTATCCCTGCTGCTCCGAACCCCGTCACATATAACACTGTGTATAAGTACATCATTTGCCAAGATTTCGCTGGTTCGCAGTTGCCTAGAAGAAGGGCAATCTGATCACACTGATCTTGATTGGGCACAAATACCTTAATAGTTGCTAATAATGTTATTCCTGTTAATCCCTACATAACCATAAAGAAGTAAGTAACTGTTACTAGCTTTTAATCCCTCCGTTTCAATTTGTTTGTCTGGTTTTAACTTGACACGGAGTTTAAGAAGTAAAGAAGACTTTTGAATCTTGTGGTCTTAAACCAAAATACGTAGAATTTACCAAAATACACCCTTTAGTCTTGTGATCTTAAACATGTCATCTGGAAAGTTAGAATAAGAAAGTTGCCGAAAAGGAAAGAGATATTCTTTTTTAAACGGACTAAAAAGGAAAGTAGGACAAACAAATTGAAACGGAGGAGTATGATCTTCACTTGAATGAAGTGATCAAACAATAGACAAGCAAATTATTCATCGAATTTAATTACCGCAAGATAAATGGTGGTAAAGATCGCAATAGTCCAGTATCTACCAAGGTAAGCGTCAGCAACGAAACCACCCAACACAGAGGAAGCCTGTGATATGCCCAAAAAATTGTTAACAGCATTGGCAGAGCTAGAAAAAGGCCTGTGCATAACGTAGAACATGAACGCCACCATGTTAACAGATAGGCCAAAGTAAGCCATTCTCTCAGCCATTTCATTTCCGAAAATGAACAAGGCAGCTATCCAGCCACCCGTCTTGTTTATATCCGGAATAGGCTTCCCATGGATATTCACAGGAGTAGCTCCTCCTACTCCACCACTATAACCACGTCCGAAAGCTGTTCTCCTATCATCCGATTCAAGGAAGTAGATTCCGAGTTTCTTTGAACCCCGTTTTGGAGTAGAATTCCCTCCTAACTGAACTTCAGGTGATTTGATTTCCCTTTCTTTACTTCCCATCCTTTCAACTCTACAAGCTCCCTCCTCTGCCTTCTTTCTTTATCACACACACTTCATATACACCAACACTGAAACTGAAAAAGAGAAAGCTTGTAAGACTTATGCCAAGATTTCGAAAGAATTAGTTGAATAACATCCTACAAGATTTCCTCCATTGCCTAGAGTCTAATGTATCTAGAGTCAATGAGTTCAGAACGAGTGTGACTTTAACATCCTACAAGCTTTCCTCCATTGCCTAGAGTCTGTGAGTTCAGAACGAGTGTGATTTTGTTTTATATAAACATTTCAAAGTTTTACTGTATATAGTTAGAGCTGAAAGTAACGAGTTCAGTTAAATCATAGGACGGTCCAAGATCCGTCTCTGACTGTACACATATAATACTATGGTAAGGATTATAATGTCAAGATTTGGAAAGACTTAGGTAGAATAACATCCTACCTATATTTCCTTCATTGCCTAGAGTCCAAATTATACAAAAACGAATTCAGGATCTAGAGTCAACAACAAGATACCCAGTGTAATCTCACAAGCAGAGTCAGAGGAAGGTACAGTGTATGCAGACCTTACACCTACCTCGTAGAGATATAGAGGTTGTCTCCAATAGACCCTCGGCTTAAAATAAAGCATTTCCGAGCAGTTTGAATAAGGGAAAACAGAAATGAGAGCAGTAACAACAATGAAATAATGTGATATGGAGAGCAATACACAACATACATATAGAGGAAAGAAGAGTAATGACAACGAAATAATGTGATCTTATTCTACATAAACATTTCAAAGTTTTCTTGTACATATCTACATAGTTCGAGCTGAAAGCAATGAGTTCACCAAAATCACAGAACCCGCCTTAGATCCGCCTTAAGACCTAATGTAAAACATGTTACCACTTGCCTCATTTTCATCTGATTAGAAACTTCTAGACTCACAATCTTGGAATTGAGCCATAGTCTGTTGTTATAGAAAAATTCAAGAATGACTTTGACAACTCAAATAAATAGTGTCATATACAAGAAATTTTTTAACACTCAACATACTTGAATTACCATAAGATAAAAAGATTATAACTTCATAAGAATATTTGAACATTTTTATGATAATGGAAAAAAAAAAACAACACCAAAATAGCATTTTAAGTAACATACCTTGGAATTTTGATTAACAACAAAAAGTTTTGTGATGACTTTTAAAAGTCCAAATAGTAGTGATGTATATAGTAGTAAATAAAACCAAAAAATTGTTAAGTCATCTTTTTCATGACAGATATTGCCAGTTTGTTAGGTAGATAGGAAGTAAATGTACTTCTCAATCAATTCATTTATTGAGCCTATGTTTGAAGGATTTATGAGTCAGCACTTGCTACTTTCTACTACACTACTAACTATTACTATTATATTAGCATTATAAATGCAAGTCCTATAAAAATACATTCTCTTATTATATAAGAGTAAAGCAAGCACGTCTTCGTTGATGTGCTTCCTTCAGCAATGGTATTTTTGAAAATATTTTCTCTTATTATATAAGAGAGAAGTTTGAGGCTGAAGCAGATATGTTTCCGTCAACGTATATGCTTTAGCACGGGCATTTTTTAAAATATTTAAAAAGGTATTTTTCTTATTTTATTTTAGTTTAATTAGTGTTTAGTTTTTTCGAAATTATTGGACCTGCTTTAGTTGTATCTTTTAGCTTTAAATTTATATCGTTTAGTTATGGCTATATTATTTTGAATGTCGATGATAATATTTGTGTAAATTTTATAACTACATTGAATAAAAAATCAACGGTAAGAAAAACACTTTAATTATGGACATCCCAATGAGCCTCTTCAAATTAGTTTTGCGTGAAAAAAGAATAAGATGATTTACTAACACACAAATATATATATCATAATTTATTTTAGGACAAAATTTTAAAATCATTTAATCAGTGTCATTTAAAACTTATCAATATTAATAATATTTATCATATATTTATTTTATACTTAATAAGATGATTTAATATTGTTTAATTAACACCACTTAAAAAATAAATTTGTAAACAAATATTGGATCCGTGCACAACACAAAAATTTTGTAACTAGTTTAATATAAGTATGTCATTCTGTGTATACACAACATATCTTTGTTAGAATGTATAAGAGTCACCACCAAAGGATATGATGTAGTGGATGATATTATTCCCCCTTAACTAGAGATTTTGGATTCGATTCCTGATATGAAAAAATCATTGGCAAGAAGCGTTTTCCTCCGAATGGGCTCTACATAGCACAAATCAGAATAGTCAGATTCCAATACGGATATTGAATACCAGATGAAAGAATAAAAAAGAAATTAAAAAGTAATCAGTTGAATTAGTCAGCCCCTCCTAATAATTGGAGAGTGTAATTACCTTTGCCATTTATACTCAATTACCTACATGACCACTAAGCTCTTAGAGTGTGAAAAAAAGAGTTTGACTAGATGACTTAAATTGAGAAGAATAAAAAGGAGGATTGAAAATTAAATGAGGGGATCCATGAAGCCCCCAACCAACACATGGATCATTTATTTTGGAACCATAAAAGAAGCCAAAAAATGTAAGTAAGCAATTTGTCAAACTTATTTAATGCTGTGTTTTCTGCCAAATAATATAGTTGGTAGTTTCCTGCTTCATCTTTCAATTGGGTTATTGGGCTTTCAACCCAGTGTTAAAGGCCCAAATGTATAATCTATGTATGCTACCTGGAAAAAGTAAACAGTAAAATGCATTTTGAAGTTTAGTTTATAACTTCATCACACTATTGCTTCCTACAAAACTTTAGGACATTATAACAGAGTTTGTGTGCATCTTTCATTTCTCACTCAATATGATAATTATTTCAGAAAGTCACTTTTAAATTATCTCATAAACTCACTTTTCTTTGTTTTGTGACAACTATATATTGTCATTTCACCAAAAGTAATTATCTCATAAACTCACTTTTCTTTGTTTTCTGACAACTATATATTGTCATTTCACCAAAAGTAATTTATCTCATGAACTCGCTTTTTTTTGTTTCCTGACAACTATATATTGTCATTTCACCAAAAGTAACTATCTCATAAACTCACTTTTCTTTGTTCTGTAACAAAAAAAAAAAAGTTGCTCAACTATCGTCATTTCACCAAACTACTCAAACCAATTCAAATTTCATCTACACTTACTAACTAGTAAGTAATCATGTGCTCTTGCAATAATAAAATTTCGTAAACCCTTCTCCAAAGTACAGTAATCAACTATCTTATTCACAAACCAGAGAAGAAGATATCTTGAAGGATCACTTTCACAAGAAACAGTCAAATATCTATGAACACAAGGGATGTTGTTACATCAACAATACCTTACACCCCATCATTGTTACTACAGTGCTTTTCAAAATCAATCTTTCAACAATTTGATGTGTTTGATCTTAAACCTCTATAAGGAATGATCAGTCTTGATACTCCTTTCATCCTACTGGAAGTTAATCTTGTCGTGGCGAAAATTGAGCAAAAAGGAACTTCAATTTGGTATGATTTTGAGAAGTTCAATATCAAACAGGAGTGTCTTATCAATCAATCCTTGGTTCCTCAGCACAAAACTCAAAGCTCTTTGTCCCTGGAAAATATAAGGAAGGAACTTTTGATGAGAAAAAAAGGATCTGCGCACCATAGAACACTGTTTTACAAGGAATTGAAGTTACCGAAAATGTTGTTGGTCTTGGACCTTTCTTATCATAGTCATAATCGGGGTATCCCAGCTCCGGAGGAACTATGATTCTGCGATATTGCAAGGAGAAAATGAAATGGAGAATACACGATATCTTCCTCGGTGCAAAAACAGTAAAACAAAAGCCATGTAGTAGAAATGACAATGAATTGCGACATTGTTGTCGCATCCCAACTAGGTTCATGTGTCCTTGGACGTCTATGAAGTGGTATCTAGTAGAGTCCTACTTATGGGTGTGTAACACGCCACACTTATGATTGGGAGGCTACACAGACATTTAAGAATGTTATCCTTCTTTTGTTACATTGGAAACTAGATTCAAAGACTTTGATAGTTCAACACTTATCTCCTTTTATATCCTGGGAGATTTACTCATTTAAGGTACCTAAAAAACTCACATGGATAGGAAAATATTAGCTAATCCGAAATGCCCCTAAATTAGGAATACTATCTCAGTTAACTATAATTAAATCTAGCATACAACGGGAGACCACATTGACCATATAGATAAGAGATCAACATCACCTGTGAAGACTCAACTACCATACTTTGAAGCACTGCTGCTCATCAGGTAACTATATTCAAGTCGAGCCCATATTTACGAGAATATAGAATCATTCAAGATGAGCTATCAGTTCGATAATCTATGTCTAATCCCAACAGTGATACCATAGTTTTAAGGGACGAAAGGTGGATATTTTAACACCCTTTGTATTACAAAGACAGAAATAAGTCACAATTTAGCAAAACTTGATGCTCAAAAGTCCAATTTTTCAATAATTTTCTTAAGGAAACATTAATGGTAAACTAAAGTTAACTAGAGGGGAGTTATATCACCTTCTGATACCTCCAAGTGCAATTCCAGTAATAGCTTCCTCGAATGCCGGTATGACCTGAACATATGATAAACACAAACTCTGCTAGAAACCTTTCTTACAGCCTCAAAAAGTACCAGGAAAAAAGACAAGTGTAACAGTCAAGTTTCGTGGAATCAGTATAATTTATGACGTCACCAAATGCATGACTAACTAAAAAACATTTACTGAAACATAATGCAATTTCAAAACATGGTTTTAAAACCAGGAATTTAGGCATATAAAACTATAATTAAATCACCATTGTCTGGAGAGAATCAGATGCTTATCGAAAAAGCTCACCTCTTGAGATCCTACTCTGAATTTGAAGAAGTCCTTATCACCCCCCTGCAGCATAATGAACCATTGTCACCTAAAACTGTGCAAGAATCGCTAATTTGACTATATATTTAAGCTGGATTAGTACCTCAAAAGAACCACCTTTCGTCTTGTTACGAGCTTCAAATATGCGACCATAATAACCTATTGTGTAACCATCCCAGTCAACCTAAATTCAGTTGTTAAAGATACATACTCAGATTAATGCAAGCTTGGAACTGCAGCTATCTCAACTGCTTCCTTGAAGGTAAGTTGCTAAGTCCAATGAAAAACAGTAAAATGTGAATTTTCCAAAATTTCCATTTGAAATGGCCAAACGTTTAGAGACCATAAAGAAACTTCTTTGGCCCAACTTTAAAGACTACGCCAAATCTATTTATTAATAAGCCTAATTGGTCTCTGCAGTTATTCTAGCTTAAAACCGGACATTGAAACAAACAAATGAAGTGTAAGAGATAAATTTGAGTAGGCCATCCACAGGCTTACCACCACTGTATCTCCGATCTTCGGAGTGGGACCACTTCCAACTCTCAAATCCTGCATGTTTGTTAGACTCAATCAAAATCCAGGCCAGCCTATGCATGAAAAAACATGATTGAGTTCCTTATGTATAGCTCATATAAGTGACCTTATACTGGAGACCTGATTGAGTTTCAGTATAGTCAGGATACCGCATCTTTGTCTTCCCATAGTCCTTTCCTCTCAAAGCAGGCACTATGTAATCAGAAAGAAATCAAAGAATTATAGTCCTTTCCTCTCACTGTAGGCAATGTATATCTAGAAAGTAATCAAAGATTTAGTTTTGGAGCAATGC